ATTTAGTGTATAATAAAGAATCAAGATAAAATTATTATAATACAAATGTATTGTTATTACTAAAATAAAATATTCTTGCTATAAATAGATTTAAAACATATTTAATTATAAAAATAACGATAATTAAAATGTATCAATATGTGATATCAGTACTTAATAAGTATATACTAGTTTTTATAGTCAATGATATAATAAATATTGTGATTACACCACACATCTTGTATATATACACAATAGTATTTACAACCGTGATCCGTATAAAGTCTAATTACGAAATTATGATATAGTATTATTGAAGAACTAATTTGTAATTTTTGCGTAGTATATTTAAAAATTTCTAATTTTTAATTCAAAGTTTTCGGTATCTTTCTGATGTATTTCTCAATTTACATACTTTAATTTTTTTTTAAGCTATAATTACTTTGTTTAATTAAAGGTACGACTTTATTCGTTTGTCATTGGTCATTAACTGATAGCTAACTAGAAACCATGTTAGAAATCTAACAACACATAAATATAATTTATCGGTAAAATTAGTTAAGTAATATTTAAAAACACTTTTTACATAGTATATCTGGTCATGTAATCGTATTTAAATTACGGCACAACGATCGCGAATGTTTAATGGTTTTATAATTGATATAAAATCTATAATATATTACATACACGTTAAGTTAAGTGATATGATGCATACAAATACAGTATACATATTTAAATCAGACCCAAACTGTTTTTTTGTTTTTCTGTATCACAAGAGCATGACGAGGAACTTTAATTAATTAGCGCATCTGTCATGCTTTACTAGATGACCGGGAAATATGTTTCATCCAGATGACTTAAATTGTATATGATTCCCGATCTCATCTTAAATTAATTACCTGATGGTTGTTCTTGAGTTAAACTTGGTCACGTAACCAAAGTTATCAAGCTAGGTGTAAAGATATTATATTATATTATATTATAGTGTGTTTTAAGCCTAAAGTGTTGTCGAAAGTGCAACGGGTAATAGAAAAAACTTTGTTCATAAATGTGAAATATTGGTGTGTATGAAATAATTTCGAAACAAATGAAAATCGAAGACGAATTTATTATCTTGTCTATATATTATCCAACATAATATTTAACGATAAAAATTGTTATCTTCCATCAGATTTCTATGTGGACTTACATTGTTGATGTCCGAGAAAACAATTAAAAACCTAAATATTTTTTTATCAAAATTTAAAATTTTTTTTAGCACCGGCTGTTACCCATAATAGTCCAATATATTTTATAATTTATTTATTTATTAAGAGAAAATACTAAACATCAAATTTATTAAAATTAGTTATAAATATGGATATTAAAATACGTATTTACTCATAGTTTACAAAACGTATTATTTAAGTTTATTGGCATAATCAACAATTTTAGACAAAATATGATATGATTGAGAGTATTTTTGTATGGTTAACAATATTTTAATTGGAACTAGTAAATCGATAATAATATAATACATTTGACAAGATATTTTAAAAATTTTAAGAAATATCGCTCAATTACATAATTATTATAAATAATATATAAATGCCCAGATAAATACAAATAATTAATTTATACTAACTATACTGGTTGATTTTCTTTTTTTATCATTAAGCATTCAATATTTTGAAATCTATTCATGGTTTTATTAATACTTTAATAAATAAAATAATTTTTATTTTAAGTTTTTAATTTTTAAATGACGACTTAATTTTTAAATTTATATTTTTAAGCAGAAATATTTTCAGAGTATTTCAATACATAAAAATCGAAATTCAGACGAGTTGTTTTTATGTCATACGCATTTAAAGTTTGGCAAACAGAGTATTAAAAAAACATTTTACGATCAGCCCCATAACTCTGAACTTCACTAACTAATACTATAAACACTCATGACTCATAAATTAATCGTCCGAATTTCGATTTCATATTTATCAAAATTCTCCAACAAATATTTCGCTTTGGAATATAAATTTAAAAATGTACATTCAAAATAGTAATAACTTAAATAATATTATGATAAAAACAATTTTTAATTTACGTATCCATTGACCTCTCACCAATACTCTATGTATTCCCAATGTTAGAAGGTACCCGCTGCTTATAATATTATATTATTATTATTATTATACTTATTACATATTATATTTAATTTAAAATTAGACTTGTATAGAAGATTGGGTTTACAGTTGTGATAAATTCGTGATGGAACGCATACAAAAACGTGTGTGTATTTATCAATTTATCATTATCATACAAAAATTGGATATGCCATACGTTTGAGCACTTCTGAAAATTATTCATTATACACCGATTTTTTTGTTAACAATAATTATTAAATTATTAAATATTTCACAAACAATAAACTATTTTGAATACATCAAATTTATTTTTTTTCTGCTATTAAATTTTTGTTTTTTTACATACATATCATAACTTTCACGTAAAGAAACGCTACCCTATATAAATAATCGCTGTATCATTTATTTAGATTTAGAATTTTTTGATTATGTTTGAAACTATATAGTTCGTTGAAAATATTTAACAATAATTGTATTCACAGAATAGTTGTGAACTCTATTTTAAAGAGATACATTAAAACTAAATAATTACACTAAACATACTTGAATTATATTTCGTGAAAAAAAAAATGTCATTCATAACATTTTCATGTATGAGATAAGCAACCTGTAAATACAAACCATTATCAAAATAAATGTATGTAGAGTATGAGCTCTGAAAAAAATATACCTAATTACATGTAATACCAGTAATGTCGAAAAATAATAAATTTGAGCGTTTTCAAACATTTTCATGTCATAATGAACATATTTTCATTATTTTATAAATACATTATATTATATAAAGTATATTGTTTTACGTATCATTTAAGAATTGTATTTTACCCGTTGCCATCACGGAAAAGATACTTAGTAGTCGTTAAGTGTACGCCACCGTCGTCGCACGCGCGTTAAGTGTTATTGGCGACAGGGCGAATTATCATTACCGTCACCCACCACAGGGTAGCTCGATAGAACGGACGAGGAATGAAAATGGAGGCGATTTGTAGTGCGGTTGTTTACCATCAACAAATAATAACAAAGAAGCCTTAGGAAAAACGCACTTAGGCACGTTCACACCTGTTCACACTAACGAAGAGCGCATGCAATACCTGTTGGACTTACGCTGGTCTATTTCGTAGTATAGTCTCAAGTGGTGGTGGTGGATAGGAATGAGCATGACGATAATGGAAGTGAGGGTGAAAAAAATTAAAAGAAACAATGTGAATGAGCGAGAACAGGAGAAGGAAAAAAAATGTATTAAAGTAAAAAAGCATTAATTGAGGTCGTAGTGCAAGTTGAGTGTACTCGTATACAACTATAGAGTGTATAGAGGGTATCTTTTGTTAGCGATCATCGGGATGGGATGGAGATAGGTGTCGGAAATTGGAACACTCCATTAAATAAGTATAAAAAGACTACGAGCCACTAGCAAAAACTCTTTCCGGTACCTTGTCGCATGCACCTAATAATATAATTACTTTATTAGACTGTTTTTATTTCAATGCACGTATAGTATAATATGTACATACAAACAAAATGTTCATACCTTAAAAGTTTTCAGCCTTGGGATCTGAAAGATTTAAGCTATACGTAGTAAACTGTTACGAAAGAACAAAGAACATTTTATCTATTATTCATAATCTCATTTATACAAAACATTTACTTAACCCTCTCTGTTTGTACAACTTTCTTAAAGTTTACTGGTAATTACATTACGTTTAAAACGTTAAACATAAATTACCTAGAATATAGGTGTAAGCGTGTGTAGATATTTTAGGTATAAGTTAATAAAGATAGCTTATAAAACGCATCCCTACATCCGGCTATAGTATACTTTAAGGTTGGTCGCTCATACGGGTGGTGGCTTTCGAGACAAAGGCCCCCGAAATTTTATAGATGGATAATCGTTTAAATAAATTATTAACGCTATAGTAAACACGTATTCATACGTTCTTGGGCAATATTATTAATTCACATACATAGTTTAATGATATTATATTCAAATTTAATATTATAATATATATTATTTGCATCTGTAACGATTTTATTTAGTTCACATATTATACGATTATATCAAATTATACTAAAAGATATTGCATTTATTTTATTATCATTAAAAAGACAATAATTTCGATCACGATGCTTACAAATTAAATGCATGCAGTAAATTCGACTTGGGAATTGGGATTAATTATTTTTCATTTGCATAATTTAGCTAATATATAATATTAAATTTACATTAAAATAGGTATGTTTGAAAAAACGATTTTTCATAGCAGTCATAATAGAATAAACAAAATATTTTAACTGCTTTATAAACTTAAAATAAAATGATCAAAATCATATTTTACTGTGTATTAGTTAAAAGTAAAATAATTTGCAAATTTAAAAATGTTTCGTGTAAAGAAATTGGATTTACAAAAAAAAAATCTAACATTTTTGATATTACAATATTACATGAGTCAATAACTTGAATTTTTTTAGCAGAAACTATTATATTTAAATTTTGGCATCCATTGACTGCATACGTGAAAATTTAAAGAATAGAAATTATTTTTGAGTTGCCATCATGTAAATCTTACTCATGTAATTCTCACTTGTAAAAATATGGTATTTTTTATCATATATTTGCACCAAATTATTTTAAACTTTATTAGTAATAAGTAATAACTCATAAATTATGAAATATTCTTGGTTATTTTTTAGACATAATAAATCTGACATATTATTTTATAAATTCTACAATTATGAAATTAATTTTTTAAAGATATTTCATGAATAAAATAATCTAGTTTTTTTAACAAAATTTTGTACTTAAATCCAATTATTATATGTACTTTCTAAATACTTATTACTGGCATTGTTATTTTATGGGTTTCGTATCATTTATTTAAATGTATTTATAAAATATTTCAGATTGAAGACGATTTAGCAACATATGTTGGCGCCGGTTCCAAGGTGAAAGACATGACAGCAGTAAATACTGTAAGTATTGTAATTACTCTCTATAATATATTATTTATGCAGACATTATTTATTTTTTCGTTTGTTCTAAATTGATATTTTAAATACGTTGAAGTGTATGACTTAAACATAAAAAACCATTCAAATGTTGATCGTTGTAAACAATATACTATTTAACAAAGCGTTCACATTTGTTAAAATTCTACGAAACAGTTTTTTATAGTATGTTTAGGTACATAAAAAATTAATTTTCAAAAGTTTTTGAATTTTTATTGATCATTATAAAATTTAAAAATAAAAAAAATCAACCTTAACAATGCCAAATTTACTCATTATTTCAATCAAATTAGCAATGTTAGTTTTACAGCATCGCTATAAAATTAGAGAAACTAACAGCACTGAGTCAGTGCACATTTAGGGTACCCTAGGAATGTAATTGGATATAAACTTTGCGGGAACTACAGTGACGTTATAAATATTAATATTGTGCATTCAAGTCATACCATAAAATAAGAATGTAATTTCTACGAGGATTGTTAAAAAAAAAAAGGTTGTTGAGGTGCTTTTTATGTGAAAAAAAATGTAGTAAAATCAGAAAATGGCTGAATTTGATCCCGGACTGCGTACTTTTTCATTCTACTAAAGAGCTTAATAAAAATAAATAAATACATAAGAAATCCTAACCGTTATATGTAAGTACGCCATTAGTCCAGGAATTTTAAAAAAAGTTTTTTTTTTAAATTGGTCAATTGAGTTAATGCGTGGTTTGAATATCATGCATATTTTATATGTGGGATAGAGGCGGTATTGATTTTATAATTAGCTATATTTTTTTAATTATAATTTAAAACAAATTTTAGATCAAAATAAGAGATCTAAATGTTACATATAAGTAGGTATATAGTCTGTTTCACTGATAATCTTCAAATAATTATGAGTGATTTAATATATTTATTTATGTACCAAACCAGAATATTAAATCATAGAAACATGTCAAATCGAAGGTAATTTTTTATTTTTTTGTTCAATTAATAATAATTTATTATTATCAAATATTTTATAATCACACTAAAAATACAAAAAAAGAGTTTAATTTTTAAATAAACCATAATAGTGATATACTCTGTAGTATGTTGTACTATAATTTACGTCAAAATAGATTACTCGGGAAATTAAACTTGTCCAATTCGCCTATGCTCCAAGCCATTGGATTAAAAGATTCAGCCAATCGTTGTAAAAACGCTATCCCTTAAAATATTTACTATTTTGCCAGATTTTAGATAAAATGTTTTTTTTTCAATTTTTAATATATTTTTTAAAATCAATAACAACTTGTTATTTGTTTGTAAAGCTAAATAGTTATAGTTGTACTATTTATTTTTATTACAAATAAATCAATCACAAACAGTTTCAACTAAAAATAGAAAAAAACAAAAATGTGAATGTTTATGATGTTTAACATCAAACAATTTACGAAACTCTTTGTGAACGTTGAATAGTATTATTATCATTTTGTATATTATTTTAAATTTACTGTTTTAAATTTACTGTCATAAAAATATATTTTAAGAAGTTAAAAATTAATGTTAACAACTAGAACAAAAAAATAAAAATAAAAAATTATACTACCTAATATTTAAGACTTTTTTTTTTTACAAAAAGTGATTCAACATGAAACTAAATTTATTTATATGTCTTAAAATACTTATGTTAAAACAATTACATTTTTTTTTTGTATATAGTATTGAACGATAGTATAGAATAAAATATATTTAATATTTTAATTTTAATCATTGAAAATTAAACATAAAATTAGAATTTCTAATATTGATATCTGTTCATTACACAATAAATGATTTAAAATTAAAAATTATATAGAAAAATAAATATTTTAAATTCACCCTGTTAATTTTATATTTTTTATTTTTGTGTCAATAAAATAGTTTTATATTTCAAACTGTTGAATAAAATTGATTATTGTCTTTAATATAGTTTTTATTATAATTCCATTGAATTTAACTTGCCGTTTTTTTTTTTTTTTTTATAAATATTTTATGACTAAACATTCTTTCTACAAATACTTTAATAAAACAAAATTTTAATATTATGAATTTGTATTAAAATAAATTATAAGCGTGAGAAAGTTTTAATATTTTTACCATTTAAAAGAAAAATATTTAATATTTATGATAAAATAGTTGTAAATACTGTGGCACTGGGCATATATATATTTTAGTTTAATATATTATTTATATAATATGTATAATCACTGGTACCTTATTATTTTATCCGCGTGTATTCAAACAAACTCATTTATGAAATTTTAAGGTTATAAAACAAACTGAATATTTCAATAAATCAAATACTACACAGAACCAACAACGCAGTTATTTTATTTTATAAGTTACGAATTTAATATAACCCTGTGCCCGTTCTGAAGACCATGCGGCCCACTCGATATCGCGGCCTACACGATGCATGCTTCAAAGAATGCCGCTTTTTTCATTATTCAAACACCTTCGGGAGTTCATTTTTTAATATTATGCTAACACAAATAACGGCGCATCCATTTACCGAAAATTAGCAGCTCGTCAAATTCCTCGAGCCGCGAGAAGGGAGTGATGTCGTCGTTATAATAGAAAATACCCGACATACTTTCATCATTATTAAATATCTCGAAATCACCTCGAGCGAAGAGAAAGCAGCAGCAAAATTGTCTTTATTAATTTTTATATAACGCGTCACTTAATATTATTGTTTTTTTCTCTACTCATACCTACCCTTACGTTTCATAAAAAAAAAAAAAAAACTAATAACTATAATATTAAGTAAAAAACACTACGCTTCTGAATTTTTAAACTCTACGCTGTGTACATATTACATTTAATATAAATATATAGGTACATTATATATAGAAGATATGAACCACACTATACACTATATGCTATACTTTCGACATTTTTTGCACTCCGGTGCAGTATATATATTATGTATAGTGTGCACATAATAACAACATCTCCGGTGGTAGTTGACACTTAATTTACGAAGGATAATTTCCTTTTCTTTTTCGCTCCACTCTTCTTATTACCATAATAATAATATCATCATCGCGCGGACGCCGGACGGTGCACGATGCAGCGTGCTTTCTCCATTATTGTCGGGGGTGAACAATATATACATAAATATAAATATATATATATATATATATATATATGTGTGTGTGTGTGTGTTTAAAATATGTATACATAAATATATATATATAGACATAGAGAAGAGTCGAAAATAACACAATTACCTAACGTGAAACAATGGCTCACCGCCGCCGGCGGTGGCGGTGATGACGGTACGGAACGATATGGGTGGAAGGGTTCGCTTCGTTGGGGCAGCGGTGGGACAAAGCTCTAGATTGCTTTTTTATCACTCTATATACACGCACAATATACAGCGCACCCTGTGGAGGATCATCCCTGCCACCACCACTACCACCATCCCTCCGTGGTATATTATGTTTTGCAAGTGCGTGGGTGTGTGTACGAACTGGCGTGCTTTTGTACGCTGATGGCTAGAGGGTTGGTGGCAATGGACCGATTTATAGGGAAAACGGTGAAAATCAATCGTCGGATTTTTGTATTATCCACCGCAATTGTCGAAATGCGCGTTTTGGTGGTGTGTGTTTGTGTGTGAATGTATGTTTGGAAGGGAATAAGGATGCAGTGAAATGAAAAATGGAAAAAAAAGAAAAAAAACAGTAACAAACAATAATAAATAAAATAATTCCACAGTGTATATATTCCGTCATTTTTAAACTGGGAACTTGCATCCGCCACTCTGTCTCGGTTTCACATTTCCGTTTTTTACTGAAAAATATGTTCACCATTCGTCTCCGTACACTACGTACATAGTAGTGTTAAGATACCTATGTGTGTTGGTTCTACAACTTTTTTTTTTCGTATTATAAGTTATACCAAACATGATATAAAAAAAAAAAAAAAACCGGTAGATTTTCGTAATCAATACCCACTAAAACTTTGATGAATTTTTGGAGAAGAAAAAAGATCGCGATCGATATGTATTTACAATTTTTAAAATTAGATAATTACACATAACATTATGTTCAATCATTTTTAACATTATAAATTTTAAAATGTGATCTTTTTTAAATTTCTTGATGTATTTTTATTGGGCTTTTAATTATCATTATTTATATTTTTTCATAATAAATCCCACTACGATCGGTTGTTTAATAAACACTGGTTTTTCCAATCTTATATTCCAAAAACATTTATCCATTATTGCCGATTAACTTATCATTTTTACCATCATCTTTTAAATTACAATAGATCTGTAATTGCTATGATATAATTTATAAGTATTTAAAAACTGGATCAAAGTAAATAATATTCATCATTTAGTAAATTTGACTTTTCGTTAACGAGTTAATTATCATTATTTTAGGCATTATGTCTATATAACACATTTTCAATGTACCAACACACCTATAAAAACCTAACGATTGATCGAAATATAAATGTAATACAGCGCACAACAAAGGAAAATTCAATATATACCTATACTCTATTGTATTCTAACTATTCAATAACTCTACATACAAGTGCGTTTTATACTCAAGTGTATTTTTTTTTTTTTAATTATGCAAAACAAATAATTGTGTTCGTCAATGACGGAAAAAATGAACAAAGCAAAATACGGTTACTATTTATTAATAATATTATTGTTGAATTAATAACGGGGACATTATTTTCACGTAATTTAATAATTTCTCGACCATTATAATATTTAAAATGTACACTCACAAATACACACACACACACACACACACACACACACACACACACACACACATATTTATAAATTGTGTATTTACTTTAAAACACGAACCACACACGCATTCAAGTGAGGCGTTCAAAAAATTATGTTTAAAATGTTATCTAGTGGCAAAATAGGATCGTGAACAGAGATATATTTAAACGAATTATTGTAAAAGTAATAAAAGTGGAATA